AGAGGAAGACGATGATATCTACATAAAGTATGCTACCATATGACATCACATGTATATATATATATATATATATATTAGGGATGTGCCTTTATTCTAATCATTTTCGCGTAAACCAAATTATTATTTTTTTAAATAGCGATTTCCATCAGATAATTTGTAAAACTAGTTAATTAGATGCCCATTTTGTATCTCTTTTGATCTAGCACCGAGTAGGGTATATGTACATCTACGTATCCCTGCGTCAACAAAAGCCAAAAGGCGAGGAGGAGATCCTTTGATTGGTCAAAGAAAAGTTGCAAAAGAAATTAAAAAAACAAATCCAATTGAAAATAAGGAAAGTGACGGAAACCCATCTTAGAATTAGAACATGACAAAGTCACTTGTAAATTTTCATGTCATAAAATTAGATTATGGTAATTGTTTTTCTTTCTTTCTCCCGATGAGTGTGTTTTTTATAACCTAATTTTTAACATTTGAATATTGTATATAAACAATTTACTTATAAATATATGAATTTCATACATTAGTAGAGAATGGTTTATACTTTATACCCTGTTAGGAGGTCCAAACAATGAACAAACAAATATTAGATGCTAATATATATATCATATGTATGTATGTATGTATGTATGTATGTATGTATGTATGTATGTATGTATGTATGTATGTATGTATATTACTTGAATGGGCCTTTAATTTCATGAAATAGTGTTGAGACACAAGGCCCATTTTACCCAAACAAGTTAGACCCGTTTAAGCTTCCGCACCGAAAGCGGAAAGCGATCGCCCATCCCTCTTGAATGTAATTATGTATATATATATATATATATATATGTGTATGCATATATGTGTATATATATATATATATGTATGTATGCATGTGGTGTAATGGTAAACTGCATAGATATGTCATCTTTATACGAGAGTAAAGATGTAAAAAGGCTACGAAGAAAACAGAAGGGGGGTGAAGCGTAGAGAGGTCAGAGAGAGGCATGTGGCTCTGTTGCAGACAATTTCAAGAGCATACGTTATGGAGAATTTTGATACATCTATATATATACATATATATAGAGAGAGAGAGAGAGGACAGTGTGAACTTCTATATACATCTAATGTATAGATATATATAGAGAGAGGAGAGAGAAGGAGAAGAGTAAAACAGTAAAACTGTTGCAGTCAGAGAATCCCAGAAGCTGTTAAACTGTTTCCTCTACCCTTTTCAGACATCTATCTGTTCTGCAACCATTTTTACTTTTGGGTTTTTTTCCCTCTAAACGTCTGAATTTTGAATTCTTATTTTCTTATTACACAAAAAATAAAATTCCTGTTTGCATTGTACTGGTTTTGGTGTGTATTACTATGAAATTCAAGTGATTTTTTAAAGTCTAATATCAAGAAAACTTCTTGTTATATTTTACTTCGATTTAGTTTTAAAGTTTCAAACTTTGACCCGTTTATAAAGTTTCACAACCGAGTAAAATGGTAAAAATAACAAAGGACTTAATCAATGGTAATTAATCCATTAATTACGATAATACATCATAATGACTAATTAACCACACGATCCCAAAGCTCTGAAACATCAGATTCAGGGGGGGGGGAACCAGACAGACACGAAGCATAATCAAGATTCAGACAGGAGAAGGAGAAGGGAGATTTGTTATTATCAGCAGAAGAAACCGAAGTCGCCATTGTCGAAGTTCAGAGCGTAGCTGAGAGGGTCGTAGTTGAAACTGGACTTCTTCCGTCTCTGAAGCTCCTTCTTCTTCCTCCTCACGTCTGCTTTGATCCTCCATAAGAAGCTTCTCAGTTTCTTCTTCAATGGCTGTGCATCAAAGCAACCCATTTACATATAAAACTATACAGAAACAAAAACCCTAATATTATGTATATATATTGTACTGATCTCTCTCGACCACTCTATCTTGTTGGAGAAGATGCAGCAAAAAGAAGGAGAAGAAGATGCATTAAAGATATCAAGTTATGGGGTTGCAGAGTCCATGTATATATCTACATATATATATATATATATATATATAATATAGTGGGCCTTCTCTGTTTACACAGTCTTCTATGAGCTCTTTTTTTTTTTTTTGTCCACATTAGTCCACGGACTAACTAATTTAGGTTCAACACTTTGTGATTAAAGTCCATCCGCGGTGGAATTTTGATTAATCTTTCCAAGAAAAACGCATGATAATTAGATATATTTAAATGCATAAATCTTGATTTTGCAGAGAGATCCGGATATGAGATAATCTCTTGATTTTTTTCTCTGTATAAATTGTATGGGCATGATAGAGAGAATTTATTGTGTATGTGACTGTGAGCCTATACATAAAACATAAACTATTAACGAATATAAGAAGAGTTTACATTATAATCATGTATAGTATAGTAAAAACAAAAAACAAAACAAGAACCAAATCAAATATAAAGATAATAATATTTTTGTAAGAAAAGAGGGAATATTTCGAAGACAGAGAAGCCAAAGTGAGGAGTGGTCTGAACTATGAACTATTCTGAGAGGCAGAGTGAGTCCCAAACTCCGCATATGTTTCGTACGGTCCCTTTCCCGTTGCGTCGCTGTCTCTCTTCATCCTTCCATCCCTCTTTGCTGATTTTTTTTTTTTTTTTTTTATGTTTTCTTTCTGCCACTCTCTGTGAACATAATTTCTTCCTTTGCATCTTTTTGGCAATTTCTTCTTCGTAAGAAATCTCTCTTTTATTTATTGGTTTATTGCACATTTGGATTTCCACTCAGATTTTTCTACTTCTTCAGCTTTTTTTTCCCAAACCGTGTTGTTGTGTTCTTAATGTTCGTTGGTCAGTGAATGGAATCTTGTACATATCACACACACATATATACGCACATTGGTGTGCAGTGAGATGGTGTTGTCATGAAAGCTGTAGATAGATAGATAGATAGATAGATACAAGAACTTAATCAGATACCCATATCGCATAATCGCATAATTTATATATATATATATATAAAAAGGGACAGGCTTATGGGTTGGCTCTGCACCATGAAACTTCAAGGAAATGGTAGATTAGAGCTCAGTAGCACACTTAGCCACAAATCCTCCTCTTCTACACAATCCACAAATGAAACATAACACATGATACAAACCCAAGTTTATTGCTATAAGCAATCTGTATAACAAACAAATCATGGAGACAAAGGGATGATGATATGGGACCAAATAACTATCTTTTTCTTTACACCCAAATGGCAAACCCCCCATGACTGTCATTCTATCAACCAGAAAAAAAAAACATTTAGACATGAACAGCCATGAAACTAAGTTTCGGTGAAGAAGTCAAGGTTTAACTTTTTGTTCTTTCTTCCTACTTCCAAACCTCATTCACCTTTGAATCACAACCTCTTTTTACTTTATATCACCATCTTCTTCTTCCATGGCCCATCCAAAAGCCAACAAGGAAAGAAGATACCCACACATTGTCACATATTTCTCTGGATCTTATCACATATGCTACACCACATCATCTGACAACCAACCAAGCTCATAGCTAACACTTACTATCTTACCAAAAAAATAACTATGCTTGAGATTCCAAGGCTTGACCTGCCTGCTCTGAGCTCAGCTACTGCATACAAAAAGGCTTACTTCCCATAACCAAAACCCTGAAGATCTCAAGACATGGATGCCCACCACATCTCTCCCCAGAGAACAATAGAACTGTATGAGTGATAAGAGCTCAAAGCTTTACCATTTCACTTAACACTCATAGTTAGAGACAATTGTTTACAAACGCTATGGTTAATATGATTATCAGAGTAAATATCAGGTGTGTTGTATCTCATTCCTCCTCTTGTAGCTCTGCTACATCACCAGACATTCCATATCACCTCCTCAAATAGAAAAGGAGAAAATTACTACCTATTTCTCCCGGTCGCATTCCACATGGTCTGCAGTAATCGGATATTACCCTAAGAGTCTCTCTGATCGCACTATGGCAAAGTTCAACTTACCCAATTCTAACCACAAGAAGGTAAGGGGCACAAGTGCTGCAATCGTTAGTACGGTTCACTAAATTATACCCACTTCCTAACCCCACAAGATGAGACATTTCAGGGTAGATACTCCATTGATGTCAGTCTAACAACACATCCAGTGCTCAAGAGAGTCACTTGAGATGGACAAAACACAGCCTAGTAGATTTCCCCCCCAAGGATGATTCTTCCTCGTTATCATACTCATCAGGATGCAATCTCTGCTTTTAGCTGACCCAGGGAACTCAATGACGGCAGAATCCTAAGGCTCAAAATGGCTAGAACATACGTATTATACTAATGGTATACAAAGTAAGTACAGTCGCTGACAAAAACGAATTCGCGGTCGCAGATATATCAGTGAGAGACAGAAGAAAAGTAAAATTGCCTTGTTAATCACTGATCGACGAACTCGAACTCGTCTTCCTTGAGATGTGCTACGAATTTGACAGGCCCACGTCCCTCGATCTCCTTCACGAACTCCACTTTGTACGGCAGATTCGCGGATATTCGCTTCCCCTTCCACACAGCGACGTAGTTCTTGATCACACCTTCCATTCCAGTCAAATCCACCTCCGGCACGCGAACCACATGGTACACCTTCAACGGCACACTCACCCTAACCCTAGCACCAACCTTCGCCTTCTCCTCCGCCTCAATCTCCGCTTCCGATGACGGCGACGACGAAGGATCAGCGTCTGCATCCACAGACGCTGCCGATTTCGCAGCCACACCGCAGAGAATCTTCGTCCTCGAAGTTGTCGTCGAGCTCGAGACCGCAGACGAGCATTTGCCTCTACCACGAGAAGCAGAAAGTGATGGGGGCGCGAACGCAAAGGACTTGAGCGCCACCGGTCCGGTGGAGGCGGAGAAAGAGAGAGAGTCGTAAGAGGAAGAAGGATGGAGAACGGCGGCGACGGTTGCCGGCGACAACGCGAGAGCGGTACTCATCTGCGACGGAGAAAATGATCTGAAGACGGAATCAGTTCTGTGACTCTCAACGGGTTTCTGGTTAAAAAAAAATACATATAGTTATTTATTTGCATATACTTTCCGTCGAAGTCTGTTGATTTTTTATGATAATTAAAAAATCATAAATTAAAATTATAACTGAAATATTCATTGTATTTTTCTGTACAAATGTTGATATTGTTGGTGCGAGATCGAGAAGATTACGAAAAGAAAGTGGATAAGATTCATAACTGGGAAAGTGACACGTGTCAGGTTTCGAGGGATGAGGAACGTGCGGCTCCAATGGAGTTGAAACGAATCAAACATCTTCGGTTTTTTTTGTTACATTGTATATAATAATCTAATAAGAGATAATCGTATATAAATATCTCAATTTTTATAAAATTTTTAAATAAATATCTAAATTATAAAATTTTTAGATAACTATATATTTTTTTTTAAAAAATTTTATATAATAATTTAAATTTTTAAAAAATTTCTAAATAAAACTAAAATCTATTATCTATAAATAGTGGACGTGTGGTTGAAAGGATGTTGTTCTCGGGGCTCCGTTCACTAGTTCGAATCCAGCTGTTGGGAAGAGAGGGGGTATTTTTTCGGTTGGGAGGATGTTGCTCTCTGGATCCTTGTCGTCGGACCTCTAAAGACTGCTCTCGAACCTGAGAGATGTAGGTTGGGTCGAAGACCCAGACGAACCTCTCGGTTAACCAAAAAAATCTATTAACCTCATTTAATTTATAACGAAATTCGAAAAAATTTGATGACTCAGTCGATTAATACCGTCAACAATAATTGTTTTATTTGATATATTTTTTTAAATTTGGTATTTATATGGAAGTTTTGAAAAATTTAGATATTTATTTGAAAGTTTTATATTTCAGGTATTTATTTAGAAATTTTGTAAAAAATCAGATATTTATATACTATTATCTCTAATAATAATAATAATAATAACAATCACTATTTATAAGAGAGAGGACATCGTGGAGATTTGTACTGTGCATGTATGTAATAGACGTGCCATAAAAGAGTACAAAAAAGGACATGAACCATCGCTAACAAAACCATCTCATATTCTAAAATGTATAAAGACCCGTGACAGAAAAAATGGGAAATTTTTAGCGTATGACTATGATAGGCAACTCCCGACACCAATTTTAAGTGTGGAACATAGGGTGGATGTTTCGGTTCGGTATTCCATTCAGAAATTGTTCGGTTCAGTTTTTTGGTTCTAAAAAATATATACCAATCGATTATTATTTTATATTTGGTTTTGTTCGATTTCGATTTCAATATTTGTTAAGAAATTTTTTTCGTTTTTTGGATTTTTTTAAAATTCGATTATGTAAAATCCAGTTAAAAAATTTTAGATGTTTCGATTCAAAAACGGTATCTATTTTTCGATTTGGAACAAACAGTTTGATTTTAAAGAACCTATCGAAACGTCCACCCTAGTGGAACATGTCACGTGGAAAAACAAATAATTTTTTTCACCCCGTATTTTTCGTTCCACGTGTACGAGCACGGACGGACAAGATTTCTCGGACGAGGCGCATGTACGAGATCCCGAAATCTGGACCGAACCGATTCAAGAGCAAACCAGACCGATCCCGTCGAATCGGACTGACCTAGGACGAGCAACGTACCACGCGAGCGGCAGACGGACGAGACAAAGCCCACGACCTCCAGACACGACCCATCTCAAGAACCACGACCCGATAGACGCGACGAGCCACAGATGAGGATCCCGAGACGGCCTGTGAAACACGGGCAAGACCCGGTGGACCTTTTGGGGCCTGTCTCGTCCCTCTGGTCTGTCCGTCAGAGACTTGTACTGGCAGTTCAAAGTTCAAACGAGAAAATTGTATCCAATTGACATTTTTATAACGTGCCATTGACGTGACAATATATCATCACTCTTGTTTATCACGTCACATAGCAGTATCAACTTATAAATGAATTGACTAAACCGTTTATTTGGCATTAATTAACAAATTTAGATAATTATGTGACAGTTAGAGGTAAATAATTATGTTTGATTACACTTTTTACCAGTTCATATATTAATGTGACATGAAAGGGCAGTCCTGCAACCGGAGACTCACTAACGTGACATTAAAATATATTAATATTACGAAGTGTTGAAAAAATATATTAATATTATTTTGAAAAATAAACATTTATTATTATCAAGATTCGGATATCTACTACACATATAAGATCAGATTGCATTACAACTCCAACCATATACACAATCATTTTATCACATTTTTTTTAATAATTCAGTCGAGCTAAACATTATATATATATATATATATATATATATATATATATATTGCACGTGCATTTATTTAAAATTAAATGGGTCGCTAAGCAGAGAGGGAAGCATAGAGAGAATTTAT